GCTGTGTGTTTTTTATTAAAAGCCATGGAAAAACAATATATTATTTGCAGTTTTGCAGCTTCATCAAGCTTTCTGACATGACCGTGCAAACACTGCCAATAAAGTCAATATAGAATGGGTTCAATCAACCATGACACACGAATCTACATGTATTACATTAACGCATACCAAAGAGAGAAGCACAGCAACATTTGAGTTCATCTTTGAATCAATGTTTAAAGTCAAATCTCAGAAAAACATAATAAGTGAGCAATTTATTCCAAGAATTTGGTGAAAGTCAGTGTTCTCTCACACATTGAGATGACTGTAACTAAAACTCATCAGTTTGTGTGTAAACAGTGTTTGAGCTGAAGCCTGTCTCAGCTGGATAATGTTTGGTTAATGCATGACGGATAAGTTTTGATTTGGAAACGTCCACTATCCAGGTGGCTTCCATAGTGACTTGCTTACCAATATGCTTCCTTGAGAGAGCACTTTTCAGTGAGTATGATTTCATGCATGATGTAATGCCTCACAGTCTCACAGGCTGCCTTTGGGATCCACAGTCACTGATGGTGTTCAGTGTGTGTTAGAACAGTTTTATTTCATTCATATAATGACCCACATCAAAGCCACATGGTTTGAATATAGCGGAAGCGGGATTTTGTAATACACAGCTATTCATTTGATTGACAGAAGCTAATTTTAACGTTGTCATAATAACAGAAATATTTTAGATAAACAAAGGGCTTCCAGCTATCTGTCTCCTCTGATGAAGGAAGTATGCACAGTGCCCTATTCTTAGGCAAGTTCTGGATGGTGTAGCCAACCACAAAAGCATGAAAACTGAACATAAACTCTGCGCTCTTTATCTTTGTTAGATAAAATAAGCAGCAAGAGGAGCCTTTCAGTGTACCAAACTTGTTTGCACTTTTCTTCTGCTGAACATTTATGCTCTGAATCCCTCTGTCTTGTAAACACCATGCATTTTTTTCAGTGAATAACAAAGTTTATACATGGTTAATACAATAATAACGTATTTGTGAAACCATGATTTATGAGACAATAATTTGTATTTGTATTAATCTTTTCAAACATTAAAGACTGCTAACATTTGTCAGGATGGGCGTCCAAAGCTGTGGATTTTGGCTTCATCCTGGAGAGGAGAGAGTGGGTGCGGCTCGCAGAATTTAAGTATGTATACACAGTGTGAACAGGATGCTGTATCATCTTGTTGCAGCAGTGCGCAGCACATTAGAAAGTTTTCTGTTAAGTAAGTTTTGTGTTAGGGAGAATATTATTATTCCTGTGGAAACATTTCTGGCTAAAGCTCATGTGCCTCTACTTTAAACCAAACAGTTCAATCATCCAAATCGCTGTGTAGATGACAGAACAGGCCGTTCTTGGAAAGTTCTCAGATTATTATACACACCAAGTCATTTTGGGCTGGAGCCTGAGCCTGCCTCGCTCTCTCCATCAGTTTGGAAAACATCTGCCGCAGTATGTAATAGCCATGAGGACTCCTGCTTAAAGATTTCCTGCAGTAAAAGCAGGTTCTCTGCCCTATAAATATCTCTCCTCTTGAATCAACAGGTTGAATTAAGCCCTGAAAAAAGAGTATTATAACATCCAACCTTCTCTGTCCAGGTGCAGACATTCCACTCTTTTTACACATGAAACTACTAAACAGATTTATCCTCAAAGGTTTGCTCCTTAAAGAGGCTCTTTGTGAAATCTGGAGCGCATGAGGTGTCTGGACACGGCTCTCAATATGGAGGTGGCTGAGCTGTCGGCTAGCAGCTAATGGTGCTAACTCCACTGACAACTGCCAACAGTGGTGACAGAGCTAACAGTGTTAAACAAGGAGGAACCAGAGGGTGGACACTACCCTTCAGCGATGCCGCCGTCCGGATATTCATTGTATAAACGCAGTGCATAGTTTAGTAGGTTTAGCGTATTGCGCTAAACACTAACCCCACCCACTTTTTAGCAGTCCAATGAAATAAAAAGGATTTGATTTAAATCCCTTTTAGAACTGTACACTGCACAAATATTCTGTTGCTCTGTGAAATTCGTCAAAGTACAGAGGCTAAAGATGCTCTAGCTCAGTGGTTCCCAACTGGTCAACACATTCTCACTCCCACCTCATCACATATTGATGTCTTGGTCATGGACTTTCCACATCCACATACAACGTGCAAGGTACCCTGGGTGCGTTGGTTGTTGACGTTCTGGGAACTTTTACATGCATTTTCTTCTTTCAAGAAACACTTCTGTTTTCACAGGAAATTTAACGTTTACAGCCTCTTTCAGTGCACTCCGTTCGTACAACACCAGGAGTTGAATTATTTTTTCCTTCAACAACAAGCACACATGGCTGGGTTTAGGCAACAAAACATGTGGTTAGGTTTAGGAAAAAAGAACAGGGGGTGGTTTTAGAATCTTTTGGACCGCAAATACTCCTCTCTCGGGTGAAAGTGGGTGTTTGTTGGATCCATACACCAACCCCCCCACTTCAGTCAGATTTCCGCCACTTTAACTTTCGTCCTTGTCCCACCACGTTCCCCCCTGACGCCACTGAGCGCTGTTAAATCATGCTGCGTATCATGCTGACCTTAAAGGATGCCTTTTTTTGTTGGTTTCTGATGCCGCAAGTCACTGCCCAAACGCCAGATTTCGACGACTTCGGAGTGTAACCAGCTCAACTGGTGCAGCCATGAGTTCCAGATATCTCCTTAGCCATTTGTTCAACATCCACAGTTTTATATACTTAGTTTCTCATTTGTGTTTGGCCATGTCGACGAGCTAGTTCGCTGTCTCTGTTAAGAAGTTGCCCATTAGTCGCTCACTCTTCTTCTTCTTCGTGTTTAATGGCAGTTGGCAATCCAGCTTCCAGGTGCATTACCGCCACCTACTGGACTGGAGTGTGGAGCAGTAGATTGGCAGGAAACAAAACAAAAACAAAAATTAAATCTTCTTTTGTTTCTGTTACTCTTAAATAATTAAATAGAGGCATTCCTTGATGTCTTTCCAAGTAGATTCCCTCATGTAATAATGTGCTTTTCTACCATTAGTCCTGTTTAGTCACTCTCTCCACAGCAGGAATCTGCACTTCAAAATAAAAGCTCTATGTCGGAAAATTCACTTGAAAACTTGAAAATAAAGTGTGTTTTTTACAAACTTGACACTTTTACAAGTCACTTGTGATCCACTGAGAATGGACCCACAACCCACTTTTGGACCACGACCCACCAGTTGGGAAGCACTGCTCTAGCTTTCGTTTCACCGGGACTTTAAAAGTCACTTAAAGAAAAGAGTGACTTAACAGTTTATTAGTGCACACACCAAAATTAGTTTATTTAGTTGTAACTTCTCTGTAGGGCAGAATAATGGAGTAAATTGCCATCATTTTAATGCTGTACTTTAATTAAAACTGTGGAGCTGGTAATTCTTGACCTTTCCCTGTCTCCTCCTAATATGACACAGTCACACACTGTATTGCCTTCCTTGTTTGGATTCTTGGTTTGCAGCTTATTATGCTTGCATTAAATGGCGTGTCTCATTTATTTGTTGGCTACCTCTGTAGAGACAGCGCTGCAGCCACAGAGCAGGCCTGTCACATTTAGTGTCAGCACAGCGCCAGACAGTAGCCAGAGACCAACAATTTGTGGCCGACCACCTCATTCAGAGAATCACCTTTGCTTTAATTTCCACTTTATTCAATGTAAACTTTTCACATGTACTTAACAGTTCTAAATTCACCTCTGATGATAGTATATCATAGAGTTGATGCATGAAACATAAAATTAAATCATGAGACGTTGCTGTTAATAAGCAGCTGCTTCCAATGATCTCATCTCTGCAGACAGCACAAAATAAAAACTTTTAAAGAGAAATGAGGTCACCATAGTTGATCAGAAGAGCTGAGTCATTAGATGTGATTCTTGCACCCTCTTTTAACTGGTAGCAGAGAAGATGAGAAAGCAACCACCCAAAAAGTGACGCATTTGTTACACATACCCTCTCACTTCTGTGTCCCATTTGTTGACATATCCCCCCTTTCCTTGTTGGGACCAGTCTGGACCAGATGTTTGGCCCTGCTGAGCTCAATAACCCAAACCTGGTGGCTGAGTGAAGAGAAGACAGGAGTGCAGTGGGGGGAGAGCTGATGAAAAGAGAAAAGAAAGTGAGGGGAAAGTGGGAGAAGGAGGCACACGCATGTACATGTGTGTTTGAAACGGTTCGCCACATATGTTCGCCTCATTATCCTTCGGCTGCAGCTCACTCTACAGGAATGCAGGGCAGCAAACACATGTCCACTTCCTAACCCCCAGTGACACATAAATACACACACACACACACACACACACATAGAGGCTCTACACTTTGTAATCACAGTGCCACACAGCCCCACTTCCTGAAAGACCCTCCACAACACCCCGTGCCTGCTGGACCTCAGTAATCAGACTGTTTGAGTTTACTGATGCTGGAAGAGGAAAAGAAAAAAAACCTCCTGGATATTCGACTGACACAGAAAAGATGCCGTGGGGATGCTGCTAATGAAAAGCACATGACTGTGTATGAGTGCAGTGATCTCGACAAAAGCAGGGTGGGTGGGAGACAAGGGGAGAGATGCGATTACAGTTGGGCTTTCCCTAACAGAGGCTCAGTGTTCACAGCATTTCTCAAAGACGTCTGATTTAGAATCACGCGCTTGTGCATAGACACAAATATGCAAACATGCCCATGCACCCTTGTCCATTTAAGACAAACATTCTCATGCTATGCTGCAACAGAGCAAAAATAATAACAAACTGTGACACAGTTCAGACACATGAAAGAGCCCAGCAGTCTCCCAGAAGGAATTAAGATTAAACCTCACTGGCTCGGGGCCGAGCAGAGAGGGAGAAAGAAACAGTGTGACCCTCAGAGGGAAAAAAGCCAGGGAACAAACCCAACAGGCAGGCTTGTCCACCAAAGGAGAGAGAGGGAGGGGAGGGTTAGGGACGGAGAGAAACAGAGGAAGAGGGAGAGAGAGAGGGAGGGGAAGGAGAAGAGGGAGAGAGGCAGAGAGAAGAAAAGACACAAAAGTTGTGACTTGACAAAAGAGGGCAGGTACCAGAGGCAGGTAAGAAAGTTTATTTGTTGTTTCTAAGGCGGGGTGTTTTAGATGGGACTTTATCAATAAGATAAGAACACAGGCAGTAATCAGTGTTTGTGTGTGTGTTTGTGTGTGTGTGAAACACAGAGAGGCAGCAAGATCAGTGTATGTGTGAGTGTGTGTTTAAGAGAGGAATCCTGGCACAGGCACAGCTGAGCCATGCTGGTGTGTTTCTATAGAAACACTGTGCCATACAAAGTGGTACTCTGTCCTCCAGGGAGCCGCCGCACGCTTCGCCTCTGCTGCTTTTCTCCACTCCTGCGCGCTCACCTTGATTTCAGCTTTTTCCATCAGAGTGAGAGGATGCCAGCTGCTGCAGGAAAGTTAGGCTGTGAAGAGAGTGAGGAGAGTCTTAAGAAAACTCACTGTTGCTTATTTTAGCTGATGGAGAATATTAATTTTTGGAGCTCAACTGACGGATCTTTAAGTAATTTCTAACAGGATTTTTTGCTTTGAATTAATTTGACTTACTCTGTAGTGAAGTTCTGTCATTCATATTCACATTCACGGACTGGTGTTGAGCAAAGGCCAACAAAAAAAAAAACTGGAATATTCTGGAAATGTGGGAAAATATCTAAGGCATGCAACTTTTTTTTCAAAATCACAGGCTGTGCTGAATCACTTTATTGCAAGAGGGTTTGAACTGTTTAGTATCCCTCTGTGAAGAGTGTGAAGAATGTAAAAGGAAAATAATGATAATTTCTGGTGGAGATGGCTGATGTGCAGGACAAAGAGGCAGTGATGACAGCATCCAGTCAGGCAGGAGGACGCACTCTCAATTTACTTTGATTTTGATTTTTATTAGTTCATTAACAGATTAATAAGATGCTTTTGTCAGTGTCAGTTAACTCTTTCACCGCACATCCAAATTGTCTTACCATTGATACAGATCCAACCTTTCCACAGCCACTGCAGGGCTGCCCCACCCACATGAGGAAATGTTTGGGGGATCATGTAACTCTAATGCAGAGTGTCTGCTGCTGAAGAGGGTTTCATAAAACGGGCAGATGCTTCTGTAATTACAACATTTCCACACCATGTGTACCAAGCACTTTCAACATGAAGTCCATCTTTAAGTTAAGGTGGACTTAACTGCTCCTAACTATGTCTTAGAAACATATAGATGAGTTGAGTAACAGTCAGAAGATGCAATTTTATGATGCCGCTTCATTTGTGTTATTTGGAGATTTTTGTAATTGTGTTTATTAGCCACAGATATGTGAGTCAGCTCTCTGAATCCTGTTGTGCGTGACGTGGCTCTTATTCAAGGGTTTTTTTAGTAGTCTTACAAAACAGTGGGGATTATTTTCAGTTAAGGGAATGACAGCGGCTGTTCTGCCAACGAGGAAAAATGAATTGGAAAGATCATCAAGGACTTTGTGGTGACAAAGAGCTTTGTTTGACATCTACTAAAGAATGAGAATTATGGGTTTTTAAATCTCCTGATACACATGGAAATGTCGCAAGGACTTCTTTCTGGTACTGGTACTCATAATGCTAAGATGTAAAGTCTGTCTAAAACATGCAAAAATAGCTGCAATTCAAAATATCTCATATTGTGCTGTGACTGATAACAATATCTTGGTCTTAGATAATAAAAAGCAAAATTATGACATTTTCAGTCATATTTCCAATGATATGTTAAATTTGAGTCATGGCTAGTCTTAATTTTTATGGATTTACATTTAAGGAAAACTACGGAAGCACTGAGAGGTAAGTGAGGATAAAAAATTCTGGTAATCCGTTATCCTAAATCTGATCTAAACTGTTTTCTCTCCTGTGTTTATGGCTGAAGGGCAGGTGAAAAAAAAAAAAAACATTTTTGCCTGGATTAGGTTTTTAAGTTACTGTTTTTTCTTTTCTCTGGAGATACATACATTGTGTGTTAGCAAGTTATGTAACATTACTGTCATGTTTTTCTTTTGGCTAGACATGACTGTAATTGTTACGTAACTTCCTAACACACGAAATACAGTCATTTTGTGCTTGAGCCAGTTTATGACAGTACCCTGTGTGCAGAGTGCATGGATGAATTAAAACCCACCTGGAAGAAGACATGAGAGCTTTTCATCCTTATTATGTAGAACATGGGGTAGTGGTGCACTTCACCCCCGTGTGGCCAACATGAGTATTACAATAACAAATACTTAAATTAAAACAAATTATCCTGCCAAAAAAATAAAAAAAAATAAATCACATGCCAGAACTTTTTTTTTTATCACATTTTCACAGATGAATTTAGAAAAAGTAACTATGAAAATAAAAGTAAAAGTAAAGTAAAAATGACACCTGTTTTACAGATGAAAAACAAAAAATAAGGAACTTTTACCTTTTTTCCCTCCTGTTCTTCAATCATAAACACCGGACAGAAAACAATTTGGACCAGACTTGGAGAATGGATCACCAGATTTTTTTGCCCTCTGGGGCTTCCATATAGTGATGAGGCCCAAAATGCATTGTTGACCTTGGGAACAGCAATCCAAGAGACATTCCCACCAGTGGATCCACTTAATAGCTGTTCTGAAGCTTTCGATCATCTCACATGAGCGTCATCAGCAGATGGAGTTTTCCAATTTGTCATGGAGCTGTGATTCTACAGCTCCCTGATGGCTGTTTTGTACAAAAAATGGAAATGGAAATTGTGATTCTGCATTCCCTTGACAACAGTACAAACTAAATCTGCTATACAGCTGTAATATAATCAAAAACTCCAGGATGCATACTAAATACTTCACCTGTGTGACCTTGCAGTGGTTTTAAAAGGAGGATCAAATGTCTCCATATTATTTTGGTTTGAAGTCAAATTGTGAAAATTAGCTAGTTGATAATGGTTAGGAATAAATAAAATACAGTCATCTGCATGGGTGGGTTATGAGAGGACAGGCCCTGTGCATAGATATGCCACAGGCCCCGACATCTCTCCTACATAGATGCAAGACACAGACTTCTGTGTTGGTTATGCCTCTTTTTTTGTTGTTTGCGTGTCTCTGCAGAGATTTTGCATTTTTTGTGGCTTTGTATCTCTGAAGTAATCTTATGTCTCCTGGAGGGAGTTTTGCTTTTCTTTGTAGTTGTTTGTGTCTCTCTGAGGAAATTTCTTGTCTGTTTTGGTCATTTTGCGCATCTTTGTGGTTGTTTCCCCCTTTTTTGTTGTTATTTTGTAGTGTTTGTTCTTTTGCATTTCATTGGGGGGGTTTTGTGTGTGTGCCTCTTTGTGGTCATTACATTTTGCAGGTGAAGGCCAGGGTGGTCCCCTGACACTTTGGGCTCCCAGGCTTGTGCCCAGTAGGTCGTCTGTAATGTGAATGTGGTCGTTGATGCAGAGAGGCACAACAAGGATCTCTGACCCACTTTGTGGTCCTCATATTGATCACATTTGCCTGTTGAGGTCACAAATAACAAATCAGTGAGTCAACCATCTCTGACTTTGAGTCTCTATGTGTTTGCCAGACTACTGATCTGATCATGACGACAGGAGCGAGAGAGGAAGGAAGGCTGGTTTAGGTTTTGAACAAGGGGCTGTGAGGCTCTGGGTGGCTGAGAGGGAAAAGGAAGGGCAGTGCCAGGGAACATCGTCAGACAAAAGTTCAGATTTGTTTTTCCAGGCAGGACAGATTATGGCTCTGAGCCTCATTCCTGCCCCATGATTCATAATGCGATGTTTATCAAATTGGCTGGAGACTTGCCTAACTGGAGAGAGTGAATGGAAAGTAATGGTGCATTTGTGCCAAAGCAATATGTATTTTGACAGCTATGTGGTGATTATTTACAGCAGCTTATGCTGATGAGGTACAGAGCACAGTGTAAAGAAACAAATGCACACAAACAGGCATGCTGAATAATGTCAAACTTTAGGATTAAGGGGACATCAATCTACTTTGAGTAGTGAATTTATCTTCACTGATGGGTAAATAGTTGTGTTGCTAGTCAAACATCTGCATCTGTGTGTGTCAGTCGAGCTTTCAGTCTCTCAGTCTGAGGACACAGAGGTCACTGCATTATACACAGACAAGAGCTAAGCCAATTAGAGTTGCACACATCTGTCACACATATTTTTGGAGAAGTCTATTACAAAAACCTGAAATTAATCCTGGTCAAAGTGCAAACTCTTGGGTGTATCAAGGATGAGTCTGTAAACCATCAATGTGCTAAAATATGCAAAGCAGAAACTCTGAACAACTAGAATTAATTACGATAATGGATATTGAAAACATGAATATTCTCTAAAAAAGATACTATTAAAACACATGTAAGCTTAAAACCTCAAGGATTTACATCTGCATGCAACACTTTTGCATTTCCAATGATTTAAATATACATATTGCCTCCATCAGAGTCTTACTGGAATATAGCCCAGTTTCCTTTGGGCCTCTCCTGGGTCAAAGATCTTTAACCTTGCAGACCTGCAGTTTTCCCCTTCACAACTCTCCCTCTGGACCAGTGCTGACAATAGAGCCTTTATCCCAAAACCTTTCCTTTCCTCTCTCTCATAAATACTAATTTCCTGTACTAGTATCGGCCCCTCCTCCTCTCCGATTTGATCAAATTAAACAAATCCCTGCTGACTTTCCTGCTCACTCTCTTTCACTTGTTTCACCAAGCCACAAACTCCCATTTTAACATTTATTTAAACTGGAATAACTCTCTTTGACATCATGACAATAACTAACCACTTCAAAGCATTGATTCACATTCTTTTCCTACTCATACACTAGTTCCAGAAACCACAAAGGACAATGGAAAGGTTGGATCAAAGTGTAGGTTAACCTGACTCTCTTAGAGTACATGCTGTATCTTTATTGTATTTTTTTCAGCTCAACACGATACTGAAGTCATGAATTAAAACATTTTCACTATAGCAAGAGCAGCATCAGGCAGTTGTATTTTATGTTCAAATAAAAGTGCAGTAAAAGTCAACGCAGCAGGCTGCCGAATGTATTGGTTTACAGTACTACAGTCTCAGAGTCTTCATGGCTGAGATCCAAAAGAAACATGCTTTATGTTTGTCTAGGTACTACTTGGCCAGTACAACCCTGAAAACTCTCAGCACAGGTTGAATAAAAATCAGTTGAGCTTGGGAATATTTTCAAAAGAAGAACTCCCAAGCCCCTTTCAGAATAGGAACAATCAAAAGGCAAAAACAAACAGTTGCTTACTGAAGCTTTCAGTGTCATCAGAGATCTGTACTGAGCCTCTAAATGCCTGCTTATCAAGGGAGCAGGGTCTGTACACTTGAGGGGCAGCACTGCCGCAGAGCTCCCTCACACAGCAAGACACACAAAAAGGACCAATGTACATGATGTTAAACATTCTGTGTGGGTGGGATAAGCTGACCATACTGGCTAACCAGTACAACCACAATGACAGGTTGTGAGTTATGCAGAGGCTTCTCTCTCCCTCTCGCTCATCATACAGTAAATTCTATAAATCAGCATCTGTTCTGTGCCCTGTCACAGGACGATGAAGGCCGGCGCGGGACTCTTCTCTGCATTGGCTCTGTTCCTCCTGATGGGGGCAGTGTTCACCCAGAGAACTCGGCCAAAGAAGCCCACCAGGCGCCCAGCCACCACCAGGAAGCCTTCTGTCCCCCGGCCTGCTGTACCGGCGCAGCCAGAGCCCCAGGAGCCTACAGACTTCCCCCCTCCCATCCTGGGCCCACCATCTATCTTTCCTGACTGCCCCCGAGAGTGCATGTGCTCATCCAACTACCCCAATGCTCTCAACTGTGAGAACCGGAACATCCGTGCAATCCCTGTCATCCCATCTAGAACCCACTACTTGTACCTACAAAACAACTACATCTCGGAAGTGACGGCAGAGCCGTTCCTCAACGCCACCGAGATCCGCTGGGTCAATTTGGCCAACAACCGCATTCATCGAATAGACAAAATGGTCATAAACTTTCCTCAGTTAAAGAATCAACATGTAGTTCTGGAGAAAGATAGTTCATTGTTGAGTCTCATAACCAGGTAACAACCTTGGGTTGGTAGTCGGACCCAACCACCAATCCAAAGCATCGGTAGGCCCTGTTTGACAACCTGAGAATGAGGCTCCACAATCAACTATCTATCTCCAGAATGACATACTGCACCTTTGACATTCATGATTTGAATTTTATATGAAAGTTTATCCATCCATCTATCTCTTGTGCAGGTGTTTGAGAAGATCCCAACACTGCTGTACTTGTATGTCCAGCGTAACCAGCTGAAAGAGGTCCCCGCAGGTCTCCCATCAAGCCTAGAACAGCTCCGCCTCGGCAGGAATCGTATTTCTAAGATCCCTGCCGGTGCCTTCAGCAAGATGGGAAACCTGACACTGCTTGACCTGTACCACAACCAGGTAAACCCCTGTTTAAAGGTAGCTTTGTGAGCATCTTACCAGACTGTGCAGTCAAGGTATGAGCACCGTTTCTAGAGCAAACATGAGCATCTGATGAATTCTCTTTCAGCTGAGTGACAGTGACCTGGGAAAGAACATATTTAAGGACCTGAAGAGCCTCATGCAACTCAATCTGGCTCACAACACCCTGAAGAAGATGCCTGCTGGTGTACCTAACAGCCTCATACAGCTTTTCCTGGACAGGAACCGTATAGATGACATCCCAAAGCAAGTATACAGTGCACATGTTGTCACATGGCCGATGAACACACCTGTAAACACTCACTGCATGCATTACTTAACACTGGTTGTATGTCAAATTTTACAACTGTTCTTCTCATTGCTGTTCAGAGACTACTTTGGTGGTTTCAACCACCTGGCATTTGTGAGGCTGAACCACAACCAACTGAGTGATAAAGGTCTTCCCAAGCTTGTGTTCAACATATCCACCCTGCTGGACCTGCAACTGTCCCACAACCAGATCGCTTCTGTTCCTCTCTTCAACGGTCACCTGGAGCACCTGCACCTGGACCACAACACCATCGAGAGTAAGTTATCTCAGCAGCAGTCTGCACCGCTTTGTGAGAGGTAGCAGAAATATGTCAACATATTGTGCTATAACAAAGGTATTCAGTGCACTTGAAGCTGCACAAGTCAATATTTTATAATGACAATAGATCAAATGACTACTTATGTGCAATGTAAAAACATTGTAGTGACAAAGCCAGAGACTTACCATCTGACTCCGCAGTTTTGCTGAGCTCCACGGAGCGTTTTAGTGTATTTCAGCTCATTGTTTTAGTTTTACGGGCCACATCATCACTGTTATGACTCATTCTTATCCCTCTAATTAACCTCATCACAAGTAGCGGTACAAGAGCTTGGTTAAACCCACTGTACGCTATCTCATCCAACACCAAACAGCAGATTTCTTACATTTCTCAGATGGCCAGAGACATGACTCCTAATGAAAGCTAATGTCACTCGATGCCTGATCCATGTGTAAATAGACCATCCTTTACTTACGTGTCAGCCACGAAACATTAATATGTTTCTGCCAGCTTTTTTGAGCTCTTCTGCCCCCCAGTGGCCAAAAAATACGTAAATAAATGAGGTTTAACCTTCTGTATATGCCTCATCCTGATTTATTTATTTTATTTACAGACTTATAGACCCGGTGCTAATTCATTAATAGTAATTTGAGCAGCTGTGTGTGACATTAATTGACATGCACTTGTTTGCAGTTTGTTTAAGTGACAGAAAACAAGCACTTAACCTTGTTCAGTCTGTCAAAACATAATGAATTTATGATGATCACGAGCTGCTGCACTGTCATACCTCTAAAGATTGTAAGAGGGTTGTAATGAAACTGACAATTGAAATAAGTGCAATACCATAAAATCTACCTCATAGTGACACAATTCTACCAATCTCAGATGTAAGTGTTCATTCAACATTTTTTTTTAACCCTTGAAGTAAGATGGACACCAACACCATCATAATCTTTCTTCATAAAAATGTCTCTGAGTTACTTTTAGATTTTGGCGTAAACTTGTTCATGTTAACTTGGTAGCACTTTCTATGAAGGCCATGTCTATAATGCATTATAAGCACATTAATAAGACATTTGAATGCATTCATAAGGCTTTATGAAACTCTTTACAATTATTTATAATCATGACAACTTATAACAATGTTTATAAAGTATTATAAGTGGTGGACATGATGCATCATCATTACATCATATTACATTATCAGCATTACTACTGCTTTATACCTGCTTTATACCTACATGCCAACAGTGTTTGAAAGAAGAATCTGAATCCTGGGTTACTCAGCACACTATAATAACTTAAAGTTTATGAAATGGCATAGTGTCCTATAAACATCAACAATACATCACAGAATGAGTTTGTGAGTTTTAAGTAAAGTGACCGCACTGTTTTAGGTTGTTACCAGTTGTGTGGGGACTCATGAGCAGTATTTGCCACAAGTACACAAGTCTCACAGAAAATCACAATGTTTGTTAAGTCTATATTTTCCAAACCTTTTGGTTACTTAATGTAATCCCCAATTATTTAAAGTAGCACGGTGAGGTTTTTCACTGTGGGAATTGCCTTGGAGTGACAAACTATGGAAGCTCCAATGACACCACGTCTGCCAGTGACAGACAGGTCGAGCTGTGTTGGAGGCCACGTCCCCCTAATATTACTCGGTCATGTGAATGTGCTCTTACGTTGCTCATACTCATACTAACAGTTAAAAAAAAAAAAAAAACAAACAAACAAAAACAAGCGAACAAAAATAAAGCTATCAAAGACCTACAGTGTTAGGTACACATATTTAAAAAGTAAAATAAAGAAAGGAGCATCATTGAAAAAGACGTGCATTTTGACAGCTCTAAGTTTGTTTTATTTTAAAGTAAATTAGGGATTTCAAGAGTGAAAATGTGATGTGTGACGTGCCCATAACCTTATACACTGCTGTCAATGCTACAATATATACCTGATGTTTATGAGATATTATTCCATTTTATTATTCCAAGTTAGAGCAGTTCCCTATGTGTCTTTATAACTGATCAAGGTTATACAGTTATAATGTGCTGTGAAACCCAGGACCCAGATTATATATAAAGCACTGGTAATGCTTAACTTACAATACATCATGTCGACCACTTACAAACATTTTGATCCTTTTATCAGTTGTCATGCATGATTATTAACATTTATATAGAGTTTCATAAGGCCTTACAAATGCATTATAATGTCTTACAAATGTGCATTATACATGACCTTCATAGAGAGCATTACAATTTAATTTCCTATTCGAGCCAGAAAACTGCTTTTCAGGCAGCTTAGTTAAGTATTTTTATAGTATTTCCGTGTTGTGACTTAAGCTGAACAAGTTTTTGCAGACAGGGTCACAAAGCTTTGCCTCGGGCTGACAGAGCAGGTTTTAAATCACCCTTCAGAAGTGAATCCTAATGTTAGGCGTTAATTATTGCCTTTCTCCTTGTTGTCACATCTGTATTTGTTTTATTACTGCTCATCTGTGTGACCCCGTTTGTTTGCTGACATGATTTATTTCTTTTTGTGTCTCTTGTTTGGACTCTGTTTCAAAAAGTGCTAAACAAACAACAAGATTGAGTTAAATAATTTGTATCATAAGCAAGTTAAGTAATCCTCTTCCACTGGCAGATTTTGTTCTTCCTTATATGAAGGAGAACAAGATTTGAGGATTAAGACATTAATGACTGTGTGTTTTCCCGGCAGGCATCAATGGCACCCAGATCTGCCCATATAGCCTGCAGGCCGACATGAGCGATCTCAGTCAGGTGCCCAGACTAAGGTACGTCACATCATGACACAACTTGGCACTCAACAATACAATCTGGTACAGTGGCATCCTTTTGATAGGAAGTAAACAGGAACAAAATAATTATGTCAGGAATTAATGAGTATTTAAAAGCAGTTACTGTTGTGATGCCACTTTAAAGACCTGCTCTGTTGCGTCAGGTACCTGCGTTTGGACGGAAATCACCTCAGCCCCCCCATCCCTCTGGATGTCATCATGTGCTTCAGACACCTCCACTCTATTGTCATTTAGAAGAACTGTGCCTTAAAGCCTGAGGTTATGCACACACGCACACCGACCTTACACATACAGTATACACACACACATATGCACAGAGTCACTGTGTGCAAACTGAATTAAAGGCAAAGCATGCTCAGTGAGAAAGTATATCCAACAGTATACTGTGGAACTGTGTTATTGAAAGAGGGGCAAACACATGAAAAAAGTGTAAAGCTTTGATAGTTCAACTTTCACTGTTGCCAGATTCAAGACGATGTCAACTCTGAATCTACAAAGAGTGGATATAAAGACCTTTAGAGTTAGGTTTTTGTTACATTTTATCAGTCATCTTTTGTTTATAGAAATGCAATGCAGAAAAAACCTAGAATGAGTAAAGCCTGAAAATACAGGTACATTGACAGACATGCTACAAATATAAAGGGTAGTTAAGTTCACTAGCAGATGTGACCAGAGTAGAGCTGCCACCAAGGACAACAAGCAGAGCTGCAGATGAAGTCACAACCAGAACCAGTTTAAAACATAACTACCATGTAGTTGAAACTGTCCCAAATGTGTCTGTGGTTTTCAAGGTACTCCATGTAAAAATGTCATTTTATCCTTTTTTTTTCTTACTCTCCTGTATATTATTCTTCTGTATAAAGAAGCTTTGTATAAATAATGAAAAATAAAACCTTTTTTTCTTTGATCATTTCACCGTGTTTCATTTTTTTAGACTTTCTTGCCACCTTCCCGTCGAGTATACGCTCCACTGATAAACCTGCAGGAACCCTGCACATGTAAAACTGAGGAAAGTTTAATTATGTTTTAGAGGAGGATTTTTAACCACTGTATGTTTTGACTTGTCGTACTGGACAGTAAACAGGGATGTTAGCATAATCCCACCTAGCACCCAACATCAGCATGACACTGATGATGTTTTAAAGGTCTAGTGACGTTTGAATTTAGGTTTTGGTCTCTATACCTCATGACTAAATGTCATTATTCTACATCAAGATGATGTTGGCATGAGACGTTCAGGGGATACTGGAATTTGGTTACTTAACAGCACAACTTAAAACCAACAAAATATCAATGTCACCTGTCATCAGTATTCTACCTCAACTTGACATTAGCATTAGAGGTTGTTCTGGCAATGAACTTTGATCACCTGACGTCACAACCTGAAGTCAACCAAATATTAACGTCAAACAATGTTGATGGCCAGCTATTCATATACCAAAGAGAATGTCCAGGGGCGTAGCACCAAATTCTGGGTCACATGCATAAGCAGTCTCTGTGAACCCCCTGTCCTTCCTCTCTTGATCCATGTCTTTCTCACACACCTTTTGAAATGTCTTTTACAAAGTGAGTTTGTTTTCTTTCCCGTTCCTCTTTTTCTTTCTTTTCTTTTTTGGAACCCCGACTTCCCTTTCTTGGTAAAGACACGATAGCACATGCGGCAGCACAATCAGTCACTCACTCGCCTCCGGCTATGTTTAAAGACGAACCCTAGCGGAGGGTTGAACTAAACCAGTTTGCACCTTTGAGTGTTGAGAACGTCCTCAGAGAGCTTCCACTAGTTTTTTTTTGTTTTGTGTTTTTTTTACTCAAAGTTCAGTCTTTTAACTGATTTATTCAGCCACTTTAATTTAGTTATGGCACTGATTACTTAGAAATAAAAAACTGCAAACAAAACCTAACATTTCATCCCAGGCTTTTTGAGGCCCACTCCCATTGGAGGCCTGGGTAATCAGTCCCACTTCACCCCCACTACAATGCCCCTGTGAATCTCAAAAATCATGACACATATGAGAAACAGGGGGGGAAATCTGCAATAGGAAAGAGCAACAGTGGTTACAAGATGTCCATTTGGTGCACAGACCTAGAACTTTGAAGAAATACATGTGAGAATATCAAGAAAACATTATTAGCATTAACCAGTGTTTCCCAGCCTGCCTGGATGTCAGAGGACCTTAAGGGGGCTGCAAAATAACTTGCAGGATCATTGTACTGTACTGCAAGGCATTTTCTGTAACTTTTGAGACACTAAAAATGTGGTTTATATAGCTGATACTTAATCTCGGCAAAATGTAACATATACTTTGCATTAAAGTAGTAAAAGTGTATCATGTGAGCAGAACTATCTAAGACCAGTCTGTGACATATTCACCAGCTGCTGAAGCAGTGCTGCAGAATAGGAGACTTGTGACTTGGATCATTTCAAGTTTTTCCATGTTTAAAAAGATTTGTGATGACCTCTAGTGGTTAGAAACCAGCACTGAGCATTCCTGAGCTGGGAAGTGCTGGCAGCTATTTTTAACCGCACACTGACATGCACTTCCAATGAGGAAATCTGGAAGTTTTTCACTTCTCTATTAATACCATCAGAGCTTATATTTAAATGTATTTTACATGGACGCTGGTTATTCCTGTTCTCCACTGGACTTCCCTGCTCATGATTCTTTCCACTGCAGGTAAATTTTCAGCAGTCATCAGAAGTTAACCTGGCCGGATAAGCAGGTGAACAGGTCCTGTTGGTGTTTCCGATCAGGACTTGTCTGACAGGAGTTAAGTCACTGCCAGTGATTTCCTCAAGGAAAACAAGTAGGGCTACGTCTTACACTGTCCTGAGGGATGTTTTATTTCCAGTATATAGTTGAACACATACAGTATTTCCATCACAGGTGTATAAGAACCTAAAAACTAATTGTTAGTGGTGCAAAACACACCCATCTTTCACTCTGAACAATACATCAACACACTTTAAAAGTTCATCAATGATGCAATGAGTAGTTTTTAATGATGGACACACGGCTGAATAAATTAATGCTGCAGAGGAGTGATGACACACTGAGCATCTGATGAATGACTCATTAAATAATGACATCACAGACAGCGAAGGTGTTTCTTTACAACGACCACGCCACAAATCAGGGAGGAGGAAATCTTTCATCATTCCGTTTCCCTTTCTGCCAATCAGGTATTGAGACATCAGTTCCTTTAATTACAGCATGCTTCCTCCTCCTGTAAACTAACTTGTGTGCACATGAGCAGGTGCATGAGTGTGTATGTGTCTGTGCAAGCTGTGCAGTACCTGAGAAAAATCCCCCTGAGTCCACTATAAGAGGAGACAGCATGGAGGCACCAAGGCACATCACTCCCAGGACTCTTCCTCTGAGTAACACACACACAGGTGAGTCTAAACACACAGGTGGTGCTGGTCGGGGTCATGGTCGTGGGTGATAATATCACAATAGATTTAGATTTTGAGGCAAGAAAACAAAAGCAGGGTGAGATAATGAAAATCCCATTTCTTTTTTAGGTATATTTCATATGCTTTAAACAGTTGTATTAATTGATTAATTGCGAAATGCAGCAACATTTGAAATTTGATGCTTTTCTCTATTTTGTAAATTTTCTTTTTTCCTATTTTATATAAACTTAATTGATCAAAAATATGTTAAACAGAATAATCATTAATTACCTAGATGATACTTACCCATGTATAATTCTCAGTAATTTCTCTGGAGAGATTTTAACAAACAAAATGTTTCTGCTAGCTCTCCCACCAGACAACAAAAATGATGAAGATGCTGCTCGGAAGCTCTCTCTGCCTGCTCCTCCTCCTCAGCTGCCTGCATGAACATGTGGAGGGCCGAGCTTTGAGCCTGGACAGCTGCTCTGTCAATGTCCACACACATGAACTGCTCACACATTACAATTCCCTACGATCAAATGCGGTGAGTTTAATACACACATAATCATAGAAATCAAAAATTGATGGTGCCTCATGCAGAATGACATGCAGACAAAGGCGATGGCTTTACTATACACAAACATCAGAAACAGTTCAAAGCAGACACCTGTCAGTGGAGAGAGATTCTAACTTGTTGCTTGTGGTCTTTGCATTACAGATAGCAGGAGACAGTGAGATCGGAGTGAAACTCCTGGACAAATCATTGATTAAGCATGTTCAGGTGAGTCTTTTACCATGAAGTGCAAGTCTTGTCCTCAAATGTTCTCTTAAAACCTCTGAATCTTTTAGGTTTAGCTAAACATTCATAGGTTTTAAGATTAATGCTGTTCACACTAAATTCCTACTCTATGCCCATGTTATTTAACCTGAAAATAGTGACATCAGACAGAGTTAGCCTTGTATCAGGTGGCAGGAGTGAAATTTAGTCATCATATTATCATGTTTTTCCAAATGATGTGTAGATTTTTAGGCATTCTATCATCTGAAATGGCTTCATAATAGAGCATAAAGCTGCTGTAAATGGGGGAGCATGCCCTTAGACCCCCTATGATTGGGCTGAGCCCCGAATGAACACAGCCTCTGCCTCCGCCCCTGGTTCTTCTGATTTTAATTTCCAGTCTCAGATATTTAAAATTTCCCTACCCTACATAGGCTGATAAAGGCTTAATAAACAGTGTGTGAGTGTGTGAGATGAGTGTGTGAGAGCTGCTGTATTCAGACCTTTCTGTGTCTCCATCAGGCCGGTCAGACGTGTTGTTTCCTGCGTCTCGTGCTGCGTTTCTACGTTGAGAGAGTGTTTGGGAACTACGCCTCCTCTCAGCCACAACAGCAACGCTGCTCCAGCGCTCTGGCAAATGCTTTCATTACCATCAGAAGAGACATCCATAAATGTGTAAGTTAGCTGTTCAATAGCTTAGATGTTCAAAAAAATTGTTTTAAAGGGCTTCAATCAAAAACAGCAGTGAGTTGTATTAATAACTGTGCTTTGTTCTGTGCAGCACTGCCAATGTGAGGAGGACACACAGAGAAAGATTGACTCCCTGCATGCTGAGTTTGACAAGGTATGAAGAACTCACTGTTCATGAACATTCCCACAGTGGACTGCAGAGGGTGCAATGTAATTTACTTTAAAAATGATGTCTTAGTTGGTTTTCTGTAGTAACGGGTTGTGGTTGGAGTCCAAATGATAATGATGTATTCGGAATACTTTGATATCTTTATGTATTATGGTATATCAAAATCCTATCTGTATGAATGTTTAGGGCTAAAAAAAGTAACACAAGACACTCCTGAAGCTCAAAGTAGTTAAAAAAAATGCCAGGTTTCTTTTCAAAACAAATTTTTGAAATCTGTTTTGAAAGAAAACAGTTGACTAAAGGTAATTAATAAGAAATCTTTACTTATTTATTTACCTTTGGGCTGAATATGGTGATAGGTGGACACACAAAAAGAACAGACAAAATAAATCATATGAATTACTTTTTGCCAATAAGATGCGGAGGAAAGAATCATTAATAAGAGTTTAATAGAAGATATTAACAAAATTGGTTCTTCATAAACACTCCAGCAGCAACTTCCATTAACCAAACTCAACTCTAAGTAGACAAAGCAAAGAGAAAATCTTTCTGTGCATAGATGCTCATTGATAAATCCACTGTTTTCTCTCTTCTTTTCTTTCCACCGAGCAGCTCGACATAAACCAGGCTGCACAGAAGGCCGTGGGAGAACTGGACACTGTCCTGGGGTGGCTGGAGGAACAGAAAACAGACGGTTGATCGGACAGAAACTCAGTAAACTCAACAGTGCAATCCCAAAGTGCCTGCATCTGATGAGTCCCCGATCTAACATCAAAGATGTAACTCTTGACCTGACATTACTTGCAAGCAGAGTGAAGGTTTCTTAACTTCACTTCTGTTCCATCGTGCATTTCTTTACTTGATTTACTTGAATTAAC